TTCTAAGCTTTTACATAACTGTATTCTCTATGTGCCAGATTAGAGCTAACATATTGCAGGGTTGTCACTAAGATTTCAAGTTGCGGGTAAATACAACAAGTAGGTGGGGGATCAAACGGCTAGGGATTTATTTTTGTTCCATTTTCCTTCTATTTTCCAATAAAAGTAGCCGGGGGCCACTCTCTTAGTAGCCGGGGAAAGTTCTCGGCCCCCGGCTCTTAATGACAACCCTGATATTGGAAGCAGTTTGGACCTACGGCAAAATAGTATGTTGTTTACTCACAGACTCCACAAGTCAACTTCTGTTCCATATCGACAGCCACGCTTGAAGAGTTCTGGTGCAGCATATTCTGGAGAGCCACACTGTGTTTTGAGGAGATCATCTCCACGGCAGATATTACTGAGACCAAAGTCTACAAGAAAAGTGGTAAGTTGTTGTAAACAAATAAAAAAGCATATTACATTGCAAAGTGCATTATTGCTGTTTCAGATTACTTTGAATGATCTAACAAACACCTGTAGCCTGCAACTGTAGGCAAATCATAAGTTCATTCTAAGTAGGGTATATTCTTTACATTTCACAAATATAACTGGCAGGAGTGAGTGTTTGTTGTGTTTGGGTCTTCAATCTAATCAATAGAGGGGTTTGTATGAAAATTAAAAGGTAAATTGACTAGAATATTTCCTACCTACTATTTTTATGTTGGTTTTGTTCTCATCCAGAAGAATGTTTTCCATTTTGAGATCTCTAAAGAAAATCAAGTCATACTGTTTGGTTATTTTACATTGGGAGAAGACTCCTTCTCATAATGCTAATTTAGTTACTTCTAAGAATAAGGAAATATTTTAAAATTCTTATTGTAATATTGATGTAATGTTTTAAGTGCCTTGGTTAGAAAGAAACTAAGATTGATAAGAATCTGGCATAATAATGTTCAAAAATACATATAAGAAAACATAATTATTGTTAAATAAATAGGTAAGGGATCTTTTGAGGAAATAACACTGAGGTGTTACAAGGATGATGTCTTGAAGTAGGGAGGTCCATATCCTTGATGAAGAACAAAATAAGGTTGTATAATAATATTCTATGATGGAATTTATTGTGAGAAACAGCCTGCAGTAATAAAAATGCTGAATGAAGTAAATCTCAGAAATTTCATTCAAATTTGATAAATGATGTGAAGGAGGATGGTAACAGAGGACATGTAAATATATATTGTGAAAAATAAATATTTGTGCAAAATGTACAGGAAATTAATAAAAATAAATTATAATATTTTAGACAATAATATGTTAATTTTTACAATATGTTACATTGGCTTGATGTAAGTTGCTTATATTGTGTAGAAGAGAAATGAATAGGCCTTGGTTGCTGGAAAGGCTGTTAATTCAAACCCTTGTTTAAATGAAATTTTAACTAAAATGTTTCTTTCAATGAAAATACATGTATAACTAAGGCTTATGAAATACCCAGTTACGTTAACTCATGGCTCCTGTGTTAACCCAATATGACCAGGCCAAAACAGTGTATAAAAAGTTTAAAAAAATGAAATAAATAGTTTTTTGCTGGTTAGAATTTTTATCCTTGGGTTAGGACTAACCAGCCATCAAGGAACTAAACCCCGAATGGTTAAAATTGTCAGTTCCAGAGGGTTAATTAAGTAATATTATTTTCAACAGCAGTCTGTGATGTCATTATAATATTATTTAATCCACAACAAAGCAAATGATTTGATGTTTTTAACACATTACAGTTGTTAAAATGCAAATGCATGATTGTTCTGTTAAGTTCTTAGGAAGTGCCAAACCTTCAATTCACTCCAAAGAGTGATCTGAAATAAGCAAAAACACAAAATAAAAGTGATTTTTGTTTTAAATTTTGTGAAGCAAATGGTACATTGCAGGGCCATAGCGTGTGGAGGGACCATTTTTATGCCCCAAAAAGTCAAAACATGCATGCATTAAAGTTGAAAATAAAAATTCATCTCCCTGAGCTTTGAAACAACGATGTCTCTGTAGCTAGGTGAAACATTTTCTGGTTTTAAGATGCAGAGATCAGTCCAATGGGTCCTCCGGACCAAAAACCCTCTTCTTTTCAAATAAAATGAGCTACCTAAAAATTAATCTTTGTGCCCCCCTAGCTTTTAAAGGCTTGCTATGGCCCTGCTATGTAAAATACAAGCCTGAGAGGTTTCATCTGAATGGTTACATCCCCAGACTTGAAAGCTTGAACTTCGTGCCAAATAAATAGTACTATGTGAACGTACAAATGAAGATGTTTCATTTCAATGGTTACACCAAAGGATTTGGTCAACAGACTGAAATGTTAGATCCACATATAATTCAAAGTACTGGCCCAGGTTGTTCAAGCAATGGATAGCACTATCCACCGGATAAATTACAATCCAGTGGATAAGTATTAGGGAAATCAATTGCATTATCCACTGGATAAATAGTGCTATCCAGCCTTTGAAAAACTGAAGCTTAGTGAAAGGGTTTTATTTGAATGTTCACACCATAGGATTCCATCAACAGGATTCTTATCACCTGTCTGTGTGAAAATATATGTAAGTACGCTGTTGAGCCCATTTTGGTTCAATGTGATTAACACCCTCATTTTTGGGCTAAAGCAGATGAAAACCTTTAAGCGTTTCTTAGAGTATATTACTGTTACGGATACTGTAATAAAAAGTGTCTTAGTAACTTTTGTGCAAGAAAGCATAAATGCGAACATTCTAATTCCAGATTATTCAGCAATTCTTTTTGTTGGGTGTTGTAATGTTAAACTCCCTCTGAATTTTGTATGTGCAAATAAGGAAAAACAACATTTTGTAGAACGATGACTGATGTAATGGGTGTTCATAATAATACTTTGATCATAATTTCCTCGACATAATTATTTTTTCATTATGTTATTGATGCAAATGTATGTTTAGTTGGTGCCCGTTCAGGCACCTCCTATGCACACATTTCGGACCTATATTTTTCGTCCCTCGCCGGAGGTGTTCTTTACGGGTGAAGTTGTAATGTTTGCGGATGTATATTAAGTGGGGATGCAATCTAACATGGGCGTGGTTTAGGAGAAACATTGAGTGGCATATTTTTTTAATGTCATAGACGGGCGAGTTCTCTTTTACAATCTTTGAAATACAAAAACGCGACCATGAATTTTGTTTGAATTATTTAAGAATTATTTGATAAAAACGCTGTTCCTTTGAATCAAATAACCCTCGATTTATCAGAGCTCAACGAACATGTTTTTTTTTTTTTAACTGAATAAGCGTTTTATTTTGCTTTTTTGCGTATTTTCAAAACTGTTTTTACGTTTGTTTCAACGTAAACAATTGCAAAAATTTATTGGCTCGCGCAATTAATTACATGAATATATTCATATTGGTGTGATGTTTTTGTCAATCGATATTTTATTTCGCGATTTTTTTTTCACTGGAAAAACGTTTGTCACTTATCATACAAGCTGTTTTGCTTTCTATTTCTCGTGAGCATACTGTGATTTGAGTTGGTCTGTTTGAAGAGTTTGACCAATCTTTTCAAAAACCAAAACGGGGAAAAGGTTCTGACACTTGTTGCGTCGGCCGAAGTGTTTTTTCTTCCCTTGAAAAATTATCTTCGTCAATAATTTATGACACTCTTAGGGATAAACAGCAGATGGTCAACTAATTTCAGAAATTAACAGACACGTTAATTTTATCTCCCATTTCAGACAAAATAATAAGGTGCCTGGAGATTTAAGCTTCTGGCAAATGAATACATTTTTGAAAGTATAGAGTAGATAAGAAGCCACTTCGGCAGCTGGCTAAACATTTTGGAGAAACAACGCGAGAAGTTGAAACGATTTTGTCTAAAATTTTCGGAAGTAATATTTTTTTCAATACATCGATTATTGTACCTCATAATGAAATACACTCTGGGCTTATTTCTATTTCCGTCGTTAAGAAAGAGAGCAGAAAACACAACCTTTAATTAATGTTTTCGACACCGGTTTAAAAAGGCCTTTTTGTAATCGTCGTTCAAAATGTACAGTTTTGAGTAAGGCTTTTAATTTTGAATTTTGAATAGTGATTGGATCTCTTATTTCAATTCCTTAACGTAATTGTTGAAAAAGATAAGTTGTCTGATATAAAGTGAGACCAAAGGAAATAAACTTCCTTTCGCGTTTATCGTAAATTTCCGTCGCTCTCAAAACCCCTCTTAGAAACGGTAATTTATTCAGTCGCTCGGAAACAGGTCGCAGCTATGTAATTAAAAATTGCCGTGTATTCAGAAAGAACCAAATAACAAGACAAAGGCTTTGAGTATTGTATAGCGCAAAACAAATGTAGCCATTCCGAGCTTTTCTTATGATTTTCATACTTAAGAAAAACTTATTAACAGATAAGCTGTTCGACAAAATTGAGATTTTGCCACTTAACACGAAGCGAACCTCGAGAAGTTTTCTTTTTTTTGACAGCTTGTTAACAGTTTTGAGGGTTTAGGCATGATCCTTAAGCGCCTTTAAAATATCTTCAGAGTTCAAGGTCTGTTTTGTATGCCTCTATAATAGTTTTCTATCACAGTTTCTAAAAAACAACATTTTTCTGGCTTTTTTTTGATCTCTAAGCAACTTCAAATTCAGATTAACATAAAAATCGGCTCTCTCTTACTCAGTTGTCATTCTAAAACCAGCAGTTTTTCGGTGAAAGTGTACATAATTTTTTCGCTTTTTCTTATTCTAATCCCTTCCGAGTAACATTGTACAATTTTAGGCCTGTTGTTAATATCTTAACAACCCTTGGCATCAATTATGATACAACACAACACCCACGAGCTTCATCGCTTCTGCAAAACATTGGAAGAGTCACACCTTGAGGCTTGGTGAATTTCTAGTTTTCAAGTACGCGGCTGAAATCCCACAATTTAAAATTGAGATGAACTGAAAAGAATCAAGAAGCAATTCCCGCGGCGCTTTTAATTTTTTAAAATACATTTTTTATTTAAATGTTATCAAAATTGCACTTGTTTTGAGTGTCTTACCGATGTACTATGCCTTGCTCATGCATATGGTACAGCGCTGAAATAAGCTGCCTCATAAAAGGCCTGGCCTGTGATTCGCTCAATTTGCAGTCGTTTTGACTTCGTAAATAGCTCAACAGCTCGCCTCCGGGAACGTACTCTGTCACGATGCAGTAAATTGAGTTCTGTTTGAGCGTCTCATACAGTCGAACAATGTTCGGGTGATTGACTTTCTTGAGCAGTAAAGCCTCCCGTAGAATGTTCTTCTTGACGTATTCGTCTTTAATTTTCCGCGTGTCTATAACCTTCATGGCCACCTAGGAGATGGATTTTTAATAATATAACCAAGCTGAGTTAAGCGGCGGCAAAACTAACTGTGATAAGTAATAAAACAGGTCACCTCGCGTAATTAAACCGATGAATAATACCCATTCTACACACCCACAGTTCGTGACAATGGCTGACAATGGGAGTAATTAAGCCAACGAACAATCCTTTCTAAATAGCATTGTAATCATAAGGCAAGCTCATGGAACAAACCTTGCTTTTCGTAATGCGGTTCGTTGCCAGCTCGACGTACGCAAAGTTGCCCTTTCCCAGTTTACTTCCAGTGAGGTCGTACGTGCCAATCCTTTTTAAAACGAAGTTACTGGATTCGCCCATTACGGTTAACAATCACTCTATGGTAGCGTGCAAAGTGGCCATTTGTAAACAGGAAAACCCCGCGACAGAGCAATTTGCAAGTGGCATGTGTGATCAACTAGGATCAACCAATCGACGGGTGGGATTTTGATCGCACGCGCCAACCATTATTTCCTATTGTTGACGATTGTGTTGAATTCAGCGCGCTGATTGGTTCGTGAACAATAACTCGCGTCCCGACGCGTGCCCACTGTACGCGCGCTCTTGCGAAAGCCAACATTTGAAAAGCAAAATAACGCGTCCATCGCAAACACACGCTATTTCATAACCCCACGAGATATTTTTCTTTGCTTCAAATAACTGTAAATTAGCAGTTGAATAAGTTCACATCCGCCAAAGGAAGCATACACGAGGAATAATATGATGCCTTTTTGAAATTCTGTAAACAAAACCTCGTGCGTCAGCTTTTTTTCAAAATAGGAAAACGTGCGCGGAATGTTCTGCAATGTTTTGGGAGAACTGCTAGTTTCAAGGGCTATTTCCATTTTGTTTATTGAAATCAGAAACGTGATCTGGCCCGTGATTCTAGCGATGATCCATTACGATGGCATAAAATATTTATGACAAACTTTAAGTGGACACGTTTTAGTAGGGGGAAACCCGAGTTCCCCGTAACGTGATCAAATTCGTTGAAAAATAAGGAAACAGCACTCCGTAGCGTATTTTTCTTAACTCCACGAACTATTGAGTTATAAGAGTTAATTTGATCAGCTTAACATTTTCAATTCAAATTTAAATGGCTTAGAAAGCTAAGTTTTAAAATATGCGGTGTGAAAAACATATGTAGTCAGCGTCATACCCCACCCAAAACGGCAAGAGACGCGCACTAATCTCGCGCCATTTTCACCCGAACGTTTTCTTTGCCTAAATAATGTCCGCCGCCGGAGTGTTCGAATTGTCTTGAAGCCATATCGAGTCGTCTTTTCTTTCGATACTTGTTTCTTAACCCGAAATACCCGTCGCAAGTTTCTATTCTTCGGTCATAAAAAATTCAGTTTGCTCAACGATGCGTCGAACGCAGCTATCCAAACACCATGTTGCAATTTCTTGCCGAAATCGGGAATTTCTGATGTCGGCGAACTCGCGTCTTGTTAACAGTAAGTTTACTGGCGTGCTGAGGTTTTCACAATTCGGTTTAAAAAGTCTATGTTCACGAGCTGCACTTTGCCATGTGTGGTGAGCGCGCGCGTATATGAGAATAAACACACGGAGTTTTAATTTTCATAATAATAGTATTATAATATTCTCTTCTTCAATTTCGATTCACTTTAAAACGCACTCCTCACGGCGAGGAAAGAGAGAATTTAGTAAAAATACAACACTGTTAAATTATTTAGAATCCTTTTTTTGTACAATTATCGTAATAAAAGCTCTCTAAAACGAGAATGGATATCAATCGATACAAAAGAACGCAATAAACTTCGGTCGAAAAAAATATACACAGAAAAACGTGTCCTTAGCTGTTAGAAAAATCGTAGGGTCCAAATAAACCCTCTCGTGTGCTGCAGTGTTTTTATAAAAAATCATTCGAAGCGGAAATTCCATAAGTTAGAAAGAGTGTCCTCACTTGTAGAGAAGTGAACGGCAGAAATTGAAATCTGCTAGCTACAAATGTCCAAGAGAGTTTTCTAGCCATTGGCCTTGAATAAGTTCAGACACCTCCGGCGGTGTATATAGATCGGGAAAATCAAATTGTCCCCCATTTGCCCCATTCAGATCAAGTAAAGGAGACACGGGCAATCCATTGAAGTTCATGTTGCCAAATTCTAAGCTCGGCCAAGAGTTTGGTATCTGTTGGTTAGGGTTCATCGTTGGAACTTGTTGATCTTGTTTAAAGGCCTGCTCAAAATCATCGTACAAGGATAGCTGATCTATAGGATCCTCGGGCGTCGTGCCGATTGCATCAGGTACGTTTGGCGGTGGAGTGATCGGCGAAACGAAATCGCGGCGCTGTTTCTTGAAAGGCGGTTCTGCGTGCGAGTTAACGTGTTTCTTGGAAGAGCCCAGTCCAGGAAATGCGTGTGCGCCGGGGAGGGCTTCGCGCTTCGTTCCTGTTGCCTCTGCTGGGTTCTTGCGCGAGTTTCCCTCGGACGAGGAAGAAGAGTTTTTACTTTCTTGTCCTCCACCGTTTTTCTGCTTGTTCGGTTGTTTCTTCTTGCGGGGTCGGTACTTGTAATCTGGGTAAGCTTGCATATGTCTGATGCGAAGGCGCTCCGACTCCTCTACAAACGGTCTCTTCTCGCTCTCTGATAACAGCTTCCAGCGCTTGCCAAGGCGTTTGCTGATCTCCGCGTTGTGCATATCAGGGTGTTCTTCTGCCATTTTTCTTCGCTCGATCTGGCTCCAGACCATAAACGCGTTCATCGGACGCTTGACGTGCTGAAGAGACTTTTTGGGTTCTTCCTCGGTCTCGTCAACCGTGGGTACTTGAGGCGGAGGACTTGGCGAGTTGAGCTCGCTTCCTTGGAACACCATCATTACTAAGCGGCTGGAGTTAATCGGCTAAGTTTTACCTGTACTGTTTTACTTGCGGAGATGCGTCTTGCGCTCCGAGATCAAAGTCACTTGGCTTAATGCTGCGCGTTGAAGCCACAGGTGTATGGAGTTATTTACGGTTCGCGGGAGTTCGAGCTCTGTTGCGCTCGGCTCGACACGTTAACAGCGAGTGAACTAGCTCAAACTGATCGTGGCAATTTCTATTTTTAATTTACATCCGAGTTTGAACTTGCGTTGGTTTTCTGTGACGCCGTGACACGTCACCTCACGCTGAACACAAAAGAACCAATGAAGGGAAGCAAAACCCGCTCAGTGCCCCGCCCTTGGTTCGCCGCACAACCCTCTGATTGGTCCGTTCTATAGAATTGCGGTCGTTTTCGGTGTGTGTTTTTAAATGGGTTTGCGCGCCAAGTGTTGAACCGAGCCACGAAGTTGACACAGCATTTGACTCATCCGATAAATTACCGTGTTATCGTTCGTTGAACCTTGAATTGCTTAAATATCAAGGCAAAAATTGGGAGTTTTGCTCCTTTTTTTCTCACGCGTGACTGATTTTGAGCGCAAAACGTGGATGTTGCGCGGTAATTTTTGTCCAGTTTGTTTCGAATTCATGCCACGTGCTTTGAACAATAGAACAGCGCATCGGTAATGACTTACGACACTAAGGGATTGTCAATGAATTGTCACAACATTCCGAAATTTGCATCTTATTTTTGGACTGTTTTGAATGATAAAGAGTTGATCGAAATATATATTTTTTGCCATAGTATAGTAGTTTCTTCGGTGCAGTCAAACTGTTATTTTTCTTTCTCTTTTAAGGCGTAGTCGTATTAGGCGCGGCCAAGCAGTTTTCCAGAACTATCGCTTAAGTATACTACGGAGATTTAAAAAGTACAAGTAAACAAGCGGAAAAGCTGCGTTGGCGTTTATTAGAATAAAGATCATCTCACAATATCGGTTATGGATAATAAGGATACCGTGGGAAGATTGCGGAGGGCGGGGGCCAGTTTTTTGCTTACCTGTGATAAGGAACCGTTTCTTAGCTACCAGAAAACTAAAACTTTATAGAGTTATGAATTTTTGTGGGTGATTTCCCCGCAGATCGGTTGTGATGATTGTTTTTCTTGCAAAGTGAGCCGAGCGCAGGATGCTATCTCTGTTTACGATCTTGCCAGTGAGAAGTCCCCACGGACTGCGTCAATTAAAACCGTATTGGTCATTCCGCTTAAAGTGCCAAAACAATGCAAATCTAATAATGCTAATTCGGTGGAAGGAGTTTTGTTGATCCTCCGGATGTCTGAGGCTGTCGCTCTTCTCGCTGTTGTGGGGAACAATCTCTCTATTTATTTTCCCCTCAAATTTGGAAAAGACACTATATCAGAGAAAAAAACCGCGCATATTAGATTATTAACCACCCAAGTTATCTTCTTAACAGAAAATAAACCCAGCAACCTGTTGAATGCGAGGCAACCTGCCTTGAGGATATAAAAATGGTCGCTTTGGTAACCATCGATTTGGGCCAATCAAATGGCGGCTTTTTTCCGTACGCGAAAACTCGGGGACAGGTGTCATGTCTTCTCGTCGCGACGAGTTTGATTTATTAAACAGCCAGCTGACACTGAGGGGTCAGTGAAGAACCCACGTGCTTAGAGACCGCCAGCTGGCTGTCAATCATTCTGCACTCATCCCAGGACGGTTCTTTGCAAAGTACAAAATTAAGTCATTTAAAAGCCGTTCTTGCCTGCTGATGCCGTTGCCGCGGTTTCGGCCGTCAAGCGCTCTCGCAGGCTTTTATGCCGCTTCAATTCTGCGGCCCGAGCCGCACGTTTACTCAACGGAGCGGATCACCGCGCCGCGATCCTGCCGATCTGTTAATGGTTTCTTTCTTTCTTTTTTTTTCAAAAGCAGCCCATATACTCACACCGGTGTTTGTATTCCATTTGACCTGATTATGCATGCGGACTCGAGTGGCCGCGAATGCTATCTTCTGATTGGTTGTTGCCACCTGAACCAGATGTTTAGAGGCAATTTTTCGCCCGGAAGGTCTCATACGAAAGATTATGCCAACACAGGCTTACAGGCTTACGCTATAATATTTGACAGTGTCGCGATAAGGAATTCTCTAATTCAAGACCAAGCCGGTCTGTTTGTAGGTCTTTATATGGGTGCACTATATATGGTGAAATCTAACAGGTCCTGTTAAGCACTCCCGCTTGCTTCTTGTTCCGGTTTTTGGCTTTCGTTGCCTCCGATGTTTTCCAAAATATAGAATCCTCTGCATTTAAAGCATCAGAGACGAAAAAACAAAAATAATCACCTGAGTTATGAACACAAATCGTTTCAGTTATATTTTTGGAAGAGAAAAATGTGTTCAATATAGTCCGACTTACAAATATTAACTTTCTTTTTCGCTTTTCTTTCTAGCTTCTGCAAAAATCGCATTCAACTCGTCAATCGTTCATATG